CAGAAAACGAACCTCTTGAGGGGGAAATTGATGGAACAAAGGAGGTCATACTTCTAGCCCTACAAGCTGCAATACAATCCACAATAGGCAATGTTGCTCGCGATGCACGTCAAGCATTCGACGATAAAATTGCAGAGGCTCGGATAACTTTGGCTCGTAAATATGATAATCTTAAAAGTGATGTAGAAATGAAAATGTCTGACATAACAACGTCTACAATGAAAAAGTATGTTGCTTTGGAACAGAGAGTTGTAGTTTTGGAGAAAAAACATAAACTCAACTCATTAGGTGGACTTGGGTATCCAGGACTGGACATTAATCCAAATGTTAGAATAATAGAACCAAAACCAACAGGTGATGTATTAATTGAACGAACATTGTGAATCTACTCCCGCGTTAGGTTAGGTTAGGTTAGGTTCATACATACGTTAGGTTAGGTTCATACATAAGTTAGGTTAGGTTCATGAGGTGGACTGGGGTAGCCCTGATAGGTTAGGTTAGGACAGGACTGGACATTATTCTAAATGTTAGAATGATAGAACCAAAACCAACAGATGACGTATTATTTGAACGAACTTGGTGAATGTTGACGCATATTCCGCGAAGTGTGCGGATGCGTGAAGCGGGGCGTACGCGCGCGAAGGGCGCGTTTCCCCCATCCCCCCAGGGCCTGCCCAACGCCCCGTCCGAGCCCACCGCCATCCGCCCGGGCGCCAAGAGGAGAGTAACTGAGGGCGTGTTTGGGGAACCAGGGGAACCGACCACCACCCCATCCTCCGAGCCCCGCCCCCCATTATCAAGGCTCCGCCCACCGCCCCACCCTCAACTCCCAACACTCGCGCATGCACGCCCCCATCCCCATTGCGCGTGCGCGCCCCCGCCACATTCCCACCACTCTTTTTGATGTTGTCATCAATCGTTCGGATCTGCACATGCGAGTCCATCACACAATATAAATCCATGGGATCTTCTAACGTGTCGGTGATGTTGAACATTCGAAGACCGATTCTCAAAGCACCATCACCTTCAGATGAATTAGCTACAACCCCTTCATCATCGCCATCACCATCCACGACCAGCTCATCGACCATGTCATCATCTTCATCGTTTTCATTAGCCTCATTTTCAACTTCGTTGACTCCAAGGTCAATCTCCTCTTCATCGACTCCAACAACATCTTCAACTATCACTTCCTCTAGCGGAATGTTGGCATCCTCATCATCTCAGCAACTATTTTTTGAGTATTCATCTTGACGTTTTCTCACAGTTGCAGAGTGAATGAATGAACTTCAGGATCGCAAGTCGACTTATATAATTGTATAGGTAGTGGTGATGGTACGACTCCCACTTATCACTTGACTCGTTTTGAGTGGGAGAGAAGGATATAGCATCTCAAAACATTAGATGGTATGATGAAGTCATGTTTGTGAGAAGGAGAAGTTATCCCACTATACTTTCACATGATGTTAATTTGTATAGAGAATGTCGGTATAGGAGAGATCAGTCAGAGTTTCTATAAGTCATCTCTTAATATTTCTAATCGAATTAGTAAAATGCCGTTTCCAAAAGAGTGGAATGAAAAACCAAAAGTGTGCGTCTACCCAATGATGATTGCAGGTGCTACTTTTGCCAAATAAGTAGACCTAAGGAAACAATTAATCCATGTACTGGTATGTGTAGTGATTGTGTGTCGCGAATTCAACTATCGCCTACATCTCATCCACCGAAGCGAACAAAATCAGATTATCGTCAACAACAGTTACAGTGCCTGAAGTGTTCTGAACCTATAATATTGAATATTATAGGTATTTGTAGATATATTTGTGGTACCTGTGCTGCCGTTCCAGCTCCGCTGCAACGTTGTTTGCGTTGTGATACATATTCTATGAATTGTTGGAATGATGTATGCACTACATGTGGGATCTATGTGAGAAGGTTGGTCAACTCTACCCCAATAGGAGAATTCATTTTTTTCAATGTTGGTGTCTGACACATGAACAACAAATATTGAGGAGGAGAGTCAAAGAACGTTCCACATCAACAGAGATATATTAACATTTTTGATTTTTATTATCGTTATTGTACTTGGTTATACTTGGTTATACGTACAATATCATTCAATTGGAATTTCGATTCATTTTGTTTTCCTCCAATTTCTTTGATACCTTTGAATTTCAATTTTGTTGTTGAATCAACATTGATGGGTGCCATACCTATTGTACGATGAACTTTATTGTTATA